ATTGAAACATGCACCTGCAGGCTGGGCACAGTGGCTCACTTCTGTAATCCCAGCACTTGGGGGGCCGAAACAGATGGATTACTTGAGCTCACAGGTTTGAGACCAGCATGTGCCAGAGCAAGACCTTGTCTCTTAAAAAAAATAATAAACAGCCTGGCACTGTGGTGGGCGTCTGTAGTCCCAACTACTTGGGAGACTGAGGCAAGAGAATCACTCATGCCCAGGAGTTTGAGGTTGCTTTGAGCTATGATACTATGGCAGTCTACCAAGGGGTGACAAAGTGAGACTGTGGCTCAAAAAAGAAAGAAAAAAAAAACATATACCTGAAGTCAAGAAGTACTGGGAGGTGGGAGATGAGATTTCAGATGTGGAAGCTGACTGTGGGGGTAGTTGAAGCTTTGGAAGTGCAGTTGCCCAAGAAACAGGTGATACCAAGTGGACTAGGAGACCTTAATCTGACTTTACTTTCATCTCCACTACTCTTCATCACCCCCCACACCCTGATGACGCTCTCCAGACAGAATTAGTCACTGCCTCCTCTGTGGGCTGACATAACGTTCTGTACTCAGAACTGCTGCTGCACTTGACTTTGGAGATTGTACATTCATCATCTTCCCTGGGTCGGAACCACTTTGTGTTACTGGCATCTAACCTCCTGCCAGATTACTTGAACTCATTCAGAGTTTACCAGATTGTTAAATTCTGTGCTGTGGTATTCATGTGGAAGTTAATCATTGGTACCTACAGAGGGAATATATTAAACTACTTTTTAAATCAGGAGGTATCCTTTTCTCATAGTGGCATCCCCAAATAACCAGAATGAGAGTACATACCTATTCAGGAAACCTAAACAGGGAAGGGGACCCCTGTTATAACTGAAGTTAAGTGTGTTTAGAGGGGCTTTACTTGTATTCCTTCAGTTTATTCATATTCATATTAATTATAGGACCTACTCCATAAACATCTGTTGACTGAATGAGGGAATGAGTGAAACATCAAATGTAGTTCCTGGAGCGGTGCCTGTGGCTGAAAGAAATAGGGCACCTTCCCCATATGCTGGAGGTGGTGAGTTCAAACCCGGCCCCAGCCAAAAACTGAAAAAAGAAAAGAAAAAAAAAATGTAGTTCCTGAAATAAAGACTAAATTTTCTTTGGAAGAATTTTTTTTTAGAGATAATCATTTTATATTTACTGACTTTGACTTTGGTAAAGGATTTTAGAACTGAATTTTTCTCATTATTTTCCATTTTGTTCAGGAGAAGAAAATGACTGGAGCAATAGTATATTTAAGAAGCTCGTGTTATAATGATCCTGAAGGTGCAGACAGCAGCATGTAAGGAAAGTGGTTTGGTGAAGTAGCAACTAATGACATCTAGCATGACTTATGAAGCCATATGCACTGTGTGATTGAAAGGCAAAAGCTTTGGACCTAGAACCACTGAAAATCTAAAAAAAACCTACTACAACAGCCACCAAACTAGTCTATCTTTTAAGACTATTTATCACCAGCTTGTATTGTTGTCTTCCAAAGCCAGTCATTTTATGATTACAAACCCAAATTGAAGAAAGGATTGCTGTGTGAAGTATTATCAATGAGTCAGTTCAGAGCATTCTCACTTTTTATTTTCAAAGATGCAACCAGAGAAGAGGCAACGGTTTTACACTTTTTAGTCTAGAGACTTGTATATAAGCAGAGGAGGGCTTCCCTAATAACGTGCTTCCTCTAGCATTCAAAATCAGTGATTTAACATCACTAATATGTGTCTTTTTTTTTTTTTTTATTGTTGGGGAATCATTGAGAGTACAAAGAACCAGGTTACAATGCTTGCAGTTGTTAGGTAAAGTCCCTCTTATAATTGTGTCCTGCCCCCAAGAGGTGTGTCACACACCAACTAATATGAGTCTTTTTCTTTTATTGAGTAAAACAATTGAGTAAAGAATCCTAAGCCATTTATTTCAAACAGCGTAGAGTGCATTCTTTCTTTTCTGTGGTTCACTTTATTCCATCCATCTTCTCTTTTCTCAGTACCTGGCTAGATACTCAGGATGCAAAGGGAACAAGATTCAATCTGTATCTTGAAAAAGTGAGCTCCCAGTCTGGCTGTAGAGAGTGATATGTGAACAAATAATTACAGTGTAATACTTTGGTAAACCAGAGCAGGCAGTAATTAACTCTGCCTAGGAATGAAGTAGAGCTGGAGAAGAGTTCAAAGAGGCTTCACAGAGAAGGTGACAATTGGAAGGATGAATCACCTGGTAGGCCGAGTGGAGGAGGAAGAAGGCATGCCGGGTCTGTGAGGGTCTTTTGTGCTGAACAAATAATGTTGGATCATACTCTGGAAGCTGTGAGGAATTTTTTTCTTTTCTTTCTTTCTTTCTATGTGTGTATGTGTATGTGTATATAAACAGTTTCTCATGAAAAGAAAATTTAAAAGAATCAGGTAAAATGTATAAATTTTCTTTTAAGCCTACTGACTGGTTTTTATTTATTTTACGTAGAATGCTTTTAGGCTCAGAACCTATTTGGTCCTGGGTACTTAGTCTCAGTGTTGTATAAGTTCCATAGGCGGCACCTATAGCTCAGTGAGTAGGGCACCGGCCCCATATACTGAGGGTGGAGGGTTCAAACCCCGTCCTAGCCAAACTGCAACAAAAAGAATAGCCAGGCATTGTGGTAGGCACCTGTGGTCCCAGCTACTTGGGAGGCTGAGGCAAGAGAATCTCCTAAGCCCAAGAGCTAGAGGTCGCTGTGAGCTGTGACGCTACACCACTGTACCAAGGGCCAAAAAGTGAGACTCTGTCTCTAAAAAATAAAATAAGTTTCTTGAGGGCAAACTCTAGCCTAGTTCATAGTAGTTATAGTACCTACTCCATAAACAATGTTGACTGACTGAAAAATCAAATATAGTTCCTGAAATAAAGACTAAATTTTCTTTGGAAAAAATTTTTTAAAAAGATCATCATTTTATATCTACTGCCTTTGACTTTGGTAAAAGATTTTAGCGCTGAATTTTTTCTCATTATTTTCCATCTTGTTTAGGAGAAGAAAATGTCTGTAGGTGATGGTATACTGAAGAAGCTCCTGTGAAATACAACTGTATTAAATTTAAAATAATAGAATATATTATTTTGAATATATTATAATTATCATACATTTTAGTATTATGTAGTTATAACAGACATTGTAATTTATTATAATTATCATGCATTTTAGTATTATGTAGTTATAACAGACATTGTAATTTATACAAAAATTGGTGAGGAGAGAAAACCATGGCTCAGGAAAAGATGAACATTAATAATAGAACTCTTTAATCCAGCTTGTAGAATGATAATCCTAGAGCTAATAAAAATCACCATGTTTGCTCAGTGCCTGTGGCTCAAGTGGCTAAGGTGCCAGCCACGTACACCCAAGGTGGCGGGTTTGAATCCAGCCCAAGCCCGCCAAACAACAA